GGCGCGCGGCCGGGCCCTGCTCGCGCGAGTGCTACGAGGAGGTGGTGGCGCTGGAGCAGGCTGAGGACCGCATCGCCAAGCTGGAGGAGGAGAACGGCAGCCTGCGGGAGCTGGTGGAGGACATGCGGGCCGCCCTGCAGAGCAGCGACGCCCGCTGCCTCGCCCTGCAGGTGAGTCGGGAACCGGCGCGGCGTCCCCTCCGCCGGAGAATGTTTCCTTGCCTTGTTTTTTACTAAGGGACATACAACTAAGTTATGCACTTAAAAAAAAATCTAAAACTATAAAATACTTCAATTCATCAAACTCAAATATGTAACATTACTTTTCCAATATATTCATACCATTTATGTAGTGTTTTTCCTAAAATATAAGTAAGAGCTTTTGGACTCTTACTTTCATGAACATATCCAACTACTGAGTTGTAAACATTTGAGAATTTTTCTTTGGACAGATCCAAAGTGTGTTTTCTTGGGAACGTGGTCCTGTGAGCTCAGTCAGAGCCAGTTCTGCAAACAGCTTGACAAACAGTCTCTGTACCTTCTGTGCACAGTCCCGCTGATTTGGGGTCTGTTTCTGTTATATGGTCTCAAGCAAAACAAGCTTATGTTTAATAACAGTTAAAATAATGTGGCATGAAATAGCATAGAAGGGGTAAAGTTCTGCAGCCTGTTGTTCTAGGGGTCTACTTGGATTTAATATCAGGACTGAACATTCATGTAACTGTGTCCTGTGTGTGATGTTTGAATTCGGCAGTAGCTATCCCTCTTTACAACGGTCAGAGTGATAGATAAAAGATACTATTACTGTTTTCAAATGGCAAAACAGAAGCAAACATGAAATGACCAATCAAAGGTCAGAGAAAGAATCAGAAGAAAGACTTAGATTAAAGCTCAAAACCACTACCAGCTGCTATGTCTATGTTCACTCTTGTTAAACACAACCTGAGAAAGTAATGTGAAGTATTTCTTTCATGAAATTGCTTGCCTTTTGGGAATAGGCTAAAATACTGGCATTAAAGCTATATGCAAAGCTGTACGGGGATTAATTTTCCACTTCAGTCATTTCAAAATTAAATTTATAGATAACTGTTTCTAAACTTATCTAGTTTTTTCTTGTTTCTGTATTTGGCAAAAGTTCTGTATTAGATGCTGATCCACTATGTGATTATAAAAACAAAAATCCAACCATTTCCAATCTTGATTAAAACRTTTTTTGCTTTCAAATGCATTAATTTGTTTGTGCTTTATGCTCCTGTTCATTATAGGTAGGACTGCGGAAGAGCCATGCTAACCATAAGGAAGAGGGTACCTGCTTTATAGGGAATAAGAGACTGATAACACAGAACCACCCCCAGACCAAGTGCCTTCAAAGCATCCTTAAAGAAGTGGAGCTCATCCGGAGCTCCAGGGACGGACAAATTGAAGAAGCAATTAGGTTCAATGAAGAACTGGAAAGAGAGCTGAAGAGCTCTCAGGAAGCTGTAGCCAACCTGGAAGACTGCAACCGTACCCTGAAGAGGGAGCAAGCCGAAATGAGAAAGAAGATTGAAGAAGCCAGACACGCAGTCCTTAACAGTCTTGGCAAAGTGAAGGAGCTAGAAGTGAAAGCTAATGAAGTGCCATATTTGCAAATATATATTCAGCAGCTAGAATCAGAACTGCAGCATTATAGGTAAGTTTGAGTCCATCAAAAATACAGCTATAAAATGACAGTACTGGAAATCACTGGTTGTATCTTAGCAAATATCCTGAAATACATCTAAAATATGGTTAGAAAGAAGCTAGGAGCTACTTACTAATTTTATTGGTAGGGGCTCACAGATAACTAATGTAACAGAAGTTGAGCAAGAATTCTGATCTACAAACAGATGTCATTCGCCAAATTAACTGTAACAGGAGCTAAAAGAAAATCACATAGGGAATTACTTAGTATTTGATAATCTGTTTCTCGCACATCTTAAATTATCTAAAGTGTAAAAATAAGTTTAATATTTCCTGTTAAGTTACATTACAAAACAACAACAACCCTGCAACCAAGTAGCTGATGTTCCACTTCCTATTAAAACTGTTCAATTTGACATTAAGATTAGGAGATTAAGATTGTGTCCCCCACACAAGGAGGGGACACAATTTCTGGCCAGCAGAAGTCTGCTGTGACTTTTAGCACTTCTTCCCTAATAGAATATATTGTACTTCATAGTGAAATCAATCTAAATTTTAAAGCCAGTTACAGATATTCAGAACTTCTTAAATACTACATAATTAGTCCATGAGGTAAATGAAATAAAATCTCTAAACCAAGAAAAACAAGAAAAGAAATAAATTACTGTGGTATTTCCCAAGTGTTTTGTTTTCTTTTATATCAGAAAGATAATTTCACTTTAATAATCTGATTTTAAAGATACTTTAAAATCAAATAGATATATAGCATAAATCAAGTCCTGCAATTTTCAATACTTATTCATTACATTTGACAACAATTCAATGGTCTATCATTTCCTTTCCACTCTACAAACAAATAGGAAAGCTGAGAAAAAGAGAATAATTTCTCTTAATAATAATAATAATAAAAGAGAACTGGGAGTCTCAGATAAAAACATGTACAATCTAACTTAAATCCACTTTGTAATAGCATAAATATATATGTTCCCAAAAGTAAAAAGGTGATCACAAACTGTTGCTTTTTACCTTTCAGACAGAACTTTTAACTCGTTGGTAGTTACTTTTTACTAACTGTACTAAACCTAATATTTTAAATATGCTACTTTAACTGCTTATCTTTTGCTAAACTTGTACTTCCTCTGTTTGCTTATATGAAGAATTCATAGTAAGATATTTATGGCATCATAGCTATTGTACTGTTTTATTAAGTGAGGAAATTCTAAAAATAATCACTTTATCTGGTGTCTTTCTATAAGCATTGTGTATGTTATTATCTCTGTGGTTGCAGAAGATAAAATCATTTATTTAACAATGCTACAGGACTTCAAAAACAGTGGCATGGATGTGTAGCTATCATTCACAACTCTTTCTTCTAAGCCAGATCACACTAGTTTTTGAGTACACTGAGCTCTCTGGCACGGGCAGCAAAGYCTTAAGCTCAGTTCCTGACTTGCAGAATTACTTTATGAAAGTATACTGAAGCATAAAAATTCACCCTTGAACAGGCATAGATGAGCTAATTAAGAATCAATAAGAAATGTCAACTACGCCTTGTAAAGCATAAACTTTTATGGGCTATAAAGATGGCATATACATTATTTTTAATACAATGCTCTTCTAGAATACTTATTTTAAAATTACCTGGTGATTTAAAGTGAGTGCAATGCTCAGAAATAATGTTTGACTGACAGTTTGAGAACTACACTCTTTCAGGAAACAGAAAATTCGCTATAGGACCAGGCTAGCAAGACCCTTTAGTAGACCCTTTGATTCTACGGTAGCAATAAAGCATTTTCATCTCCTATGTAAGACTGCTCTTGGCTTAAACAACGTATTTGAGACTTGCATGAGTGTGGTCATGTTCCGTTCTTTCGTCTACACTCATGTAGTACAGAGATGCTCGAGTTAACAGAAAAATAGGTAAATTAAGCCACGTTACTGTAATAAGTAACTCATTTCACACATGCTTGGATATCTCCACGCTAGATAGCCATTGGCATCATAGCTTTACTGAAGTCATAAAGAAACAGTGGTTCCACTAGCTTCATTTGTGTTGCAGACGACAGAAATTACTGCTCAGAGAGAACCATATGCTTCTGTAGCACAGAAGTCCAAAATTCACTGATGTAGGCTGGGTAAGGTGCTTGAAAGGGTATGTTGAGAGAAAGGACATGAGGGACATGGCCAAAGTGTGGAGACTAGGAACAGACTCTCTATCCTGCAGGTTTCTCAGACAGTAAACTGGCAAGCATTATTACTTGTAATGTTATTTAAGTACATGTTTCCACATCACTAAAAGACTGTAAATATGTTAGTAGGATCTAAATTTGACAAAAATTAATATTGGAGCACAGAGAAATGTGTGGAAAATCAAGTATACTGCAGAAAGCCTGTAAGGTCGCAGACCTGTCTTGGGAGAATTCAGCTTACCTGGCTTTGCATGGTTACTATTTTACTTCAGGGAAGGTCTTATTTCTCCCAGAGGGATTCCTATCCAAGAATGAGACCAGTCTACGAGTTTTTCGTGCTCTTCTTGTTCTCATTTCTGTTTTTTAAAATAAAATAGAAAATGATTTGTTCTTTTAGGTTCAGACTTTCAAAGGTTTTTAAGTATATAAATCCCACTTCTAGACCTACATCTTACACCAACTTCCTATCAGTTAGCACATGAGTCAGAACAATAATCTTAAATTATAATCCTTAATTCAGGAAACAATCTAAGTGTGTAAAAGTTTATTCCTGTTCAGGAAAGCATCTAAGTACCTGCAAGTGATTAAATGTTTTCCTGAATTACGATACTTAACAATTCCCTTTCCTCCCACAAATTAACATTTTTGCAAGTTTAACGCAAAATGTTCCTATTCAGATGTGTGGTAAATATTTGCCAAATGAAGTTAGTATGATTTAAAAGGGTTTTTTTTTTTTTTTCTGAATACAATTTTCTGTATCATGTGTTGAAATTTCTGTATCATATTACTAAGTTCCTAAGTCAACCTAGTAGATTGAACAGTTTATTCTTTTTGTCTTAAGGTGTATACTGTATTCTTCTGGCACTGCATGCATTTTCCAGGTTTTGGCCCCTATCTTCTTTACCTTAGAAATATATAGTAGGGTGTTTGTTTGTTTTAATCCCTATCAATTTAAGGACTTAAAGCTTAGACACTTTAAAGGTAAGTCTAGATGAACTCATTAGGAAAAATGAGTTAAATTCATTTCAGAGTAAAATGAAATTACCCAAGAAATTGTGTGCTTTAWCACTTAATATTATATTCGGAAGTTATTATCCACAACATTCGCACACAGAAGAATTTAGGAACTTTTGCAGGTTTCCACAGTTCTGCCCAGGCAATTATTTTCATTTTGCACTGATGCAGCTGCTTTTATCTTCCTCCCAAGTGTGCCATTTTTCATTTCATATTACTGAAGCTCAGCTTTTTGATTCCAGACAACTTTTTCAGTTTCTCAAGATGATTTTGAGTCTAAACTCTAGAATGTTCWCACTGCCTCCCAATTTGGTGTCAACTTTTGAAAAAGAAAAGTTGAAAGTATAAATAAATACAGTGATGAGAACTGGAGCTGAAACAGATTCTGGTGAGCTCTGCTTGACATACCCTGAAGGTAAAACCACTAATAGCCATTCCTTAAAATATTTTTTCAACTAGCTTTGCTCTTACTCAAGGTGATACCTACCATCCACATATTCTAATATAGTCCTGTGATTTACAATATTATGGGAATATCATATATAATAATGTTACAAGAAAAATGCCACATGTACTCCTTATCCACTCATTTTTCTTATCAAAGAAGGAAATTAGATTGGCATGACATGAATTGTTCTTGCCAAATATGTGTGGCTGTGTTTTCTATACTGTATTAACTTTTAAGTGGCTTATAAGTTGATAATTTCATAAAATTTACAGATATTATTTCTCCTTAATAGCACTGCAGGGAATAACAGAATTTGACAACTTCCCCCCACTCCATCCCTTCAGTGCTACAAATAAAAAAGAATGGTCACTTAGAATTGAAATAGATTTAGTAATGGAGATGTTCACAGAAATTTTATGTTGCTATGCCAGCCAGCAGCACAGTAATTACAGAGGTCAGCAGTAAGGGTCATAAAATAACAAAAATGCTTCCCATATGCATGGTCTGTCTCCCAAATTACTTAATTATCCATCAGCATTTATGTGTTAATGAATAGGAATCCTTTCTTACATGGAATTCAGARTGGCTTGTTTCATTGCCTCATATTCTCTTACAAATACGACTATGGATACCTCTAGCCTAATTCCCCTATTYGTTCCTCTGACATAAAGACACTAGTGCTGTTTTTTTTTCAAGCAATTCTCCTCTACATTACCTGATATCAGTAATTAACTTTTTTCTTTTATCTCTTTTTTTCTTTCCTTTTTTTTCCTTCAAATATTTTCTAAGATTATCATCACTCTTTAAAATTTAATAAGATGAATGAAACAAATCCAAATTAATAATCCCTTCAAAAAGGAGAGTAATATAGAAATATTCCTAACTGAATCAGTTAAGTAGAAAATAAAAAGGCTTAGAAAGGAAACAGTATCCACAAAAGAAGGTGTACATAAATAGGTTATTTACAATCTGAATGATAATTTACACTTTGAATTCAGGCCCTCTAGAACTGTTGTTTCATTTAAAAAATTGACATTAAAAAAAATCTCAACAACTTTCTATTTGTTTTTTTAGCTGGACATCAGTATCAACTGCTCCCSATGACTTGAAATTGCTAAAGCTTGGGTATTTTAGATCTGACCTGCTAATCGCATTCATTCAGGCTTAYGCTTTTAAAATGAACAGTGCTTAAAAGTGAAAAACAATGATAGTAATAGAATTGAACATGTGTATGATGAAACAGACACGATACAACAAAGTATTATTTTATAGAGTACTCACCTATAAGAATACACCATCAGATTGTGCTAGATGAAATCATGTCATTTTATTTTCTAATGGTGCTTATATCTATTACTTTCCTCTGCTTAAGATTATAATAGGATATATGTTACGTAGAGGTCTGTCACTGAAACAGAGCTTCAAAAGTTTTTCAGTAGGTCAGCCATAGCAAATGAGTATATGTACTTATCATATGAACACTAGTCTACTTACATGGCTGTAGTCACAGAAGAATTTACAAGCTAAACTCATTCAGATCAGATTACTACTCATTTAGAGCACTTTAAAGGAACATTTTTGATTTTACAAGAAGTAGGAATGATAGAAGGTACTGTTATTTAGGTATGATAGTATAACTTGTATGGCATAATTTTAATATATTAACTCCATACTGAAGAAATATATAGAATCTGTTTCTGTGGAAGAGGCATTTTTATTTGAAATGCAGGAATGCATTCAAGTTAGTATAGAAGTATATTTATCCACAAGCAAGCTTGTACTTGTATGTTAATTTGATGTTTAAAATGTAGCTGGTTCTTTGGTCTTTTACAGTTCTGGGCCCTTAGTTATACAGAGGGCATTTATTCTTGGGAAACTTTGCCTGCTTTCTCTTTAAATCCTCCTTTTCTTTTCTGGTTTGCCTTCTTTGCTCTGTTTGGTGTAATTCATTCCAAGAACAATAGCACTGGATACTGCCTATTCATGCTAGTGGACCTGCCTTTGCCCTGCACAGGCTTCTGTCCCTCGCTCTGAGGAGGAACGGCTGTTTGAACACATTGTAGGTGTCTCATAGCAACCCCCACTGTAGCTCATGCCTTCCCTGTGGCTAATACAGTAAAGCAAACTACAAACCCTGCTCTAGCAAGTAGTAACAAAATGGTAGCCTATGCTAGAGGAATTAATTTTATCATGTCATACACCGTATTTGATGCACACAACTACTTTTTAAAGCTGTTTTYTGCATGTCTGTGCACAACTTGGATCATGCCAGCTCCTTCTATACCACATTAATCTGTCGCATATGCGCAGGAAGGGTTTGTGCAGCGCCTCTCCTCCGAATCAGCGTCTCAAGCTAAGAACATTTGCWTTGATCAAGGCTAAAAATTGTGTTCCTGTTTTTCTAAAAGGTCATACCAGTCTTATAGTGAGCAGGGTTCTAGCAGTCTATTTTGCTTTCTTTTCTGATACTAATTTGAGTAAAAATGAAAAATTCAAGTGAATTAGAAAAAGTGTTAAGCTTTATGCTGAATTATGAATTTAGTAAAATGAAGGGCAAAGAGGTCTAAAAGACATACAAAATAATTAGCATATATTCATCAAAATACGGCAAAGAAAGAATAGGTAATGTATTTCGTAAATATATGCAAAATGCCAAACCATGCAAAAAATACTTGCTGCCTTTCTACTAAGACCAGGACTACAACAATATAATGATAATCAGTGTCAACTGTATAACACAGAAGCTTTATAGAGCTGCCTTCACAGACCAGCAAAATGTCAAAGTGAGACACCTCCCTTTGGAGGGTTAGAGTTCTGCAATACAGACACAACACTTAGAATCACAATTGCAGTTTGCCAAAGAATTTGACTTGCCTGGTCTGAAAGGTGCAATCACATCACCAGAGATCTACAATACCGAAAGTCTGAGGTGTTTAGTCCTGTACTTTATACAATTCAGAGAAACTGTTAATCCATAAGGCTTGGAGAAAAAGTATTTCTCATCAGCTTTTTGGCAATTGTGAAATATTAAGAATCACTTGTATTTATAACGGATTGTTGCCGTCCTCCAACCTCAGTAATTAATGTTCTGCTTCTGAAAACAGCCCTCCCTTGCATTAAGCAAGTCTTACCCAGTTAAGGTACTTGTACTCTGTATTGCCTCATTATTAAATGATCTTTTTAGCACAGAAGAATATTAATGCAGGAAAGGTAGCAATTGAAGGTAGCAATTATTTTTACCTCTTCCACAGCAACATGTATTTCCCTAAGGCAAGTTCCTGCGGACTAGCTAAATTAACAGAGCCATTTTTGATAAAGAGCATGATTCACAATACAGAAGTCACCGGGAATTAACTGATATTTGCTCCTGCAAGTACTCATTAATCTGCATTTACCCATCATTATATACAGGAAAGAAACAGAAAATACCCCCCTAAACAAAGTAGTGACTCCACCGGCAAAGCTCACAAAAGACACTTCCAGTTTATCTAGTCAGTCCCTGGAAGGCCATGCTGAACTGGCCACTGCTTTCCTTCACATAGCTCTATAAGGAAAGAAAAGGACATGGTGAACAGGGGCTGGGGGAATCAAAGAGCAGTTTTGCTCATTACCCTGAGAAAGGAGCTGTCAAAGTGTCACCTTCTTTCATCCTTCCTCCCTTACTAGCCTCTTCTTGATGCCGGGAATGGAAGCTTAAATCAAACAATGAGAATGAATGATGAAACTGCAACGTCTGTACAAAACAAAACCAACAAACAAACAAAAAAAGAGGCTGTTGAAAGTGGTAAAAAGGGGGCCCATCCAAGGCAGCAGACAACACTCGGCTGTTTGTTTCCTTGATTTCATTACAACAGAGGCTGATGCTTGAAGCACCATGGTGGGAAGATAGAACCC